CAACAGCTACTTTATCCAACTGGCTTCATGTGTTTTTATGTGCAAAGTGGCTGCTGCTACTAAAATTCAGAGAGTGCTCATAAGTTAGGAAAATAGCCTGGTGCTCAGTTAATTGCTAAAAAAAGAGTAAGCAGAGTAGAGAAGCCCAGCTTCGGTGGTCTCACTTTTGTGATGCTGCACGTAGGCAGGAGGAGGTGTCGCTGCTCTCAGTGGCGCTTCCTGTATGGCTGCGGATCAGTTTGGGTCTCAAGCCTTCAATATCCAGAATATAGCCTTTGGGTTTTGGTATGTCCTCTGGATGCTCTTTGATTTTGAGAATTTTGACTTCTTTTTCTTTCATTGGAATGTGAAATGAAAAAAGAAAGTGTTGTCAACCAGTATATTTAAAAGGAGATTGTGCCACAGCAGATCGTGTAACAGGACAACGAAGGTGTTTATAAGTGCCTGCGTTTTTGCTGTGACCAGTAGGAACAATTCTGGGTTTTTTCTCTTACAGTCTAATAAAAAAATATAAAAAAGGGTAGGAAATTTATTCCCTACACCAGAGTTACAGTCTTCATGCATGTTGGCCTTATTTGCTGTCTTGGGAATGTCCCATCTTCACTCCTGTCCTTCTTTAACTTGGCATATTCAAATTCACTTACAGAAAAACACGAAGACGCTTTAGACTAGGAAGGAGTCAAGTACGTTAGGTGCAGTGTGAGGACATCACACAGTGGGGCAGGCTGCTGTGCCAGAATAATTTGTTTTGCTGACAGACTCTTAAGTGAAGGTCCAGCTCCAGCCTGCCACTTCTGCTCATCCAGCCTGTCATCGTGCAGATCCACTGCTTGTTTGTGGTATTTTACACGTCCCCTATCTGAATTTTCTCTCCCCTTTTCCTTTTAATTTATGGGGCTCCTGTGACACCTGCTTTCTTGTTATCTGAGCAGGAGTTTCTAAATTCTTCTTGCAGGTGTAGGACAGATTGAGGTGAGTGACTGGCAGTAAAAGGGATAAAGTGGTAACTTTGTCAGGGACTGGCACATTCAGCAACTGTTCTTTATAGTCTGAAGATCCACATCTTTGTCTGTAATTCTGGAAGGTTAAAATAATAGATTTGAGGTATGAAATTTATTTCTCCTCTTTGGAGCTAGGTCCCCCCCCCCCGCCCAATGTGTGCTCTCCTCATACAGGAAAGAATTATTATAGCTTGTTTGTACCTTCTGCTATTTAGTAATTACATTTTCTTATATTGGATTTGCTTACATAGTTTGTGTCAGCTACACATTTCTAATCAAATTGAAAATATTTACTTAAGCAGACCTCCTCATCATGTATTCTGAAAACAAAATAACAACTTTTCACAAGAGTATCCAGTGTGTGTATGTTTTTAAAATTGCGTTGCTTTGATAAATAGGTGAATCTTTTTCATCATGTTATTTTTTCCTCATTTTTCCAGCTTTTTGCCCTTCTTGAACAGTGTATTACACTGGACAAAGTCCTAATGCAACATTCTTATATAGGGTTACTTTTCCATGAATTCTGTTGACTTAATGAGAGGGAAACTGTTAGAGAATAGTTTTGTTTCACACAGATATAACATTTCATTATGTTTTTTTTAGCACTTAAATAGAATAAAAGAATGGTGTGATTGAAATAGCTCAGAGCAGCTTTTATTCCATAGCATGGTTTCATGCGGGTCTTCATAGAAGAGTTGCATCATGTACAGAACAACCGTGTACAGAACAACCCCGTGAGTGCTGAACTGAGGAGCCTGGAAATGATGATTTTTAAAAATAGTTTGGTCTCAAATCTGGCTTGGCTTTGATTTCTAGACATTCAGGAAATGGAACTTTTGAAGCTGAAGTCAATGGGAAAATGTGCACTGTTCCCCCTCAGTAGTGTGACTTTATGGAAATGTTAAAATGCACCTCATTGTTTGCATAGAGTCTCTTTTTGGCAACAAATGAGAATCTGTATAATCAATTACTCCAGAGATTTTCCTTCAAGGACTATAGGTTAGGAAGTGTGGACACTTTTTAAAATAAAATGTTTTTGTACAAAAGAACTCTTTTCATACAGAATCAAGCAAATCCAAGATATGCTAGGCATCTGACAGACATGTGAATAGAATACCCACAAAACACTTAAAGGAAATATATGCCAGTATACTAAAATAACTGCTGAGTCTTGGCCTAGTCTTCATTAATGCAACCCAGTGATTGTACAGTTTAGTTGAGACTGAAGCCTACCAGCTGATTTTTCTGTTTGCTCGTTAGAGAAAAATAACAAACCCTATAATTCACTGGAGTAAACTACTCTATTTCCATAGAAATTATGTTTTTCTACAATTAGATTTTGTGCACTCACTTAGCTCAGGGTGTGGGTTTCTTGTGATGGCTTTGATTACATTCCAGATGTGTGTTTCAATGCAATTTTGAAAGCCGTTATCAAGATCTCAGCAGAAGGTATTTGTGAAAGATCCTGGAGACAGGGCTATAATCCCGGCGACGTCCAGGGGCACTGTGTTGTTTTGGGTCGTTCTGTCTCGCATCCTGCCCTGTCTCTCTCGTGGGAATGCACAGGGTCCGAAGGCCATTTCCACCTCCCCTTGCACATTTGTGGGTAGCTGTAGGTGCCCAGTGCAGCCCAGTATTTCACACTGGTTCCATCAACGTAAAACATGTGGCAAGGCAAGGAGTTACGTTTCTTTTTCTGGCTTTGGATCTGAGCATGCAAACTCTTTGCAAGGTAACTCTTTAATATGTCTGCTAGGAGCTGGGGAAACTAAAATTATGGACAAAATCCAGTATGTAGTAGAGACAGGCCCTGCAACACATTATCTGAAGAACAATCACTTAACTTTCTTTGTTAAAGACAGAATTTATGAGATTCTGTTCATACTTCACTACAATCTGACCACAAGATAACATGGATTTGCAGATTGACTCAGTTGATTCATGCTCTTGTATAAATACATACAGGCACAGAAATGCATGTGTACACACAAATAAATCCTATACGTGTCAAGGTATTGTTCCTGTAAAAAGGAATGGTACAGTGAGATAGTGTTTGTGATTGTGTGGGCTAAAAAAAAGTCTGTTAAGTTGTCTCTGTAGTACGATCTGAAATAAAAGAGACATTTTTTGAGACATCAATGTAGGGATATATCAGTCTCTGCCAGCACCATGTTGCCTTCTTGCCTTTACTTTCATTTTTTTTAATAGGCAGCAGATATTTACAGCTGAATAAATTGCAAAAAAATACATATTTTCACTATGAATAGTAGACAGTTTTCAATTTGACTTGAAAAAAAAGACACAACTTTTCAGAAACTTCTCCCAGTTGCTAATGATATTGCTTTTCAGAGGACTTCAGAATGCTAATTTAAATGCCATGGGATCTTAACTTGCAGCAATATCGATATTGGTGGCTTCCTTATTCTGTTAATTTTCCTGCATTTATGTTGGCATTAGCATTGGCAGAGAGGATGAAAATGTAAACAACTTGTGCTGAGTTTATCTCATTCTTTTTTCTTTGGGAACATCATCATCATCTTGCGTTGGGGATAGGGATTTTTAACTTCTCCCTGCAGACTCAGATGTGAGTGAATTTTGTAATGAGCTGCCCTGCATGGCATGGCTTGCTCTGCATATGCTCATACACGTGCAGGGTTGAAATCTGTTGACTTAAATCACTTACAGCATAACTTTTAAGAATGTGGTAACATGCTCGTGTGATTCATTTCTGTAGCTAAGGGATGAATTAAGGTGATGATACTCTGCCAGCGTAGAAGATTTAGCCCCCTCATTCAGCTGAAAATGTAATGTTAGCCAAAACTGATAGTAAGGTTTGAAAGGTGCATGTGTAAAGTCATGAAAAGCTCGGATTGTGTAGTGGAGCCATTAACCTGCTAAGTAAAAGCATTAATAGGTTCCCTGACAAGTGACAAAGAAAAATACGTGATTTGATAATAAATTTCTTTTAGGTATATTTATGTGCTTGTGCATGCACGGATTTTCATAAAATGCACAAGTTGAAAGTGCAGAATTGACTACCAGTAGAAAATGGTAGAAATGGTCTTGCTTGGGAGGACGTGAACTGAATTTTTACTGTTATATGCTCAGAAACAATTTGGCAGAAATATTAGCTGTCAGGGAAGGTATATGCATATAAATATAATTTTGCTTTGTCTGTGGATAGTTTATATTATTTACATTATAGAAACTACATTCCATTTAGACAGAAATGACGTGCTGTAAGGCTGATGTCACTTTCCTGGATGTGTCATGAATCTTTGAAGGGATATTGGAAGCTGACTTTCAGAGCTAGGTTTTTAAACCTAATCTTTATTTTTCTGTTTCAAGCTCTTTTGTTGCTTGTTTGATTGTTTGTTTATATTTTCTTTTATTTAACCTGTTCCTCACTACCCAGATGTTTCTTTCTGGGGAGCGCTGTAGGATAAAATGAAATCCCCCAAAACCCGAATGAGTCAATCTTGACGAAGAGTCACACTGCTGTAAATTACAGCTTAATTTGTCAACAAGCTTTCTCAACATGTGGTAGAGCCACTTAAATACTGGTTAAGCAAAATATTTGAGTATGTTACTGAATATTTTGTTTTCAAGAACAAACTTAAAACTGTCAGAAATGTCATTCATTTCTCTTTGTGATATGTTGTTAAACTTTGTAGAAGTAAATGTTTTCATAAATTCAAAAGAGGAGCTAGTCTGATAATGAAAAATAACAAAATAATAGCTTTGCTCAGAAGATGATAGCCGATGAAACCTTTTAGTTTTGCATAGTGGCTTATGGAGACTTGTGGCACTGACTAAATTGGACAAATTCCCCAGTGAACTATATGCCAAGGTGAGCTGTGCATTCCTACTGCCAAAATGAGCTCTTTAACATGAAATATGTCTTGGACTCTGGTAATGGGAAACTTCCCAAGGTTTCACACATTTCCTGATAATCTCCATGGAATCCTAACACTTACCAAATGTTTTCCTTGTTGGCAGGTGGAGTGGATACAACAGCAGGTGGTTAAAAGAAGAATAAAGAGGGATTATAAACCTGGTGGTACCCAGTCCACTTACTTCAATGATCCCAAGTGGCCAAGCATGTGGTACATGGTAAGTATGTATAGAGCCCTAACTCTGTGTGAAAATAGTGTGTTTAGAAAAAGTAAAATTTCTTAACTTTTTTATGTAACTGATGAAGATTTGTAAACTCCTTGCAAGCATTCTAAAGAATTCCCAGCCAACCTTGCAAAAGGAAATGCTTGTTAATGCATTCATTCGTGAATTCTTCCCATTGCAGGGTGCCTTGGGAATTTCTTGCTAGAGGCTAAGCTTTCAGCAATGAGAAAGGAAGGAACATAGCTGCCATCTGCGAGAGCACTGAACCCACTTGTTTTCCGTGTGTTCAATTCCCTGTCTCAAAAAACAATGTGCTACAAATTTTTTGTGCCCTGAAACACAAGAAAAAAGCCCCAAACAATATCTTTTGAATGTTATATGTGCAAGTTGTTTAGTAATGAATAATTCTGTTGAAATAAATGGATTTCTTGTGCTGCTTCCTTCTGCATGAGTTGCATGTTTTCTGAGCAAATATTTTTTTTGCCATTACAGTCACTGTTAAAGCCTGGAGTGAAAATTATTTTATTCAAGAAGTTTTTAAAAATATCCTATTTTTTCTTGTAAAGATGCAAATGAAAAGTTCATGTTCTTAGTTTAAGGCAGTGGGAAGCAACAAGTTAGGCAATTGACTCAAGCCTCATATGCCTGCATTTTGACCCTTGAAAGACTTGATGTCTTTCCGTACTGTTCTGCTGATGTAATTCTCCCTACAACTTGTTTTCTCAGTAGATCACCTATGTATCTGAGAATAGGGCACTCAGAAGGTTTATGACCTGGTCGCTTGAACTGCTTCAGACAGAGAGGAAAATATGTCTTTTGGGAAAATGTAAAATCATTTTCCTGTAAGTAGACATTATCTTTTCAGGTGTCTGGTTAATTCCAATGAGCTAGCTCAGTATTTCATATGAATAAAAAAAGATTGTTCTAACACAGCTTTTTTTTTTTTTTTTCTCCAGTTGTTATAATTATTTCATTTTGGCTTGTAATTCATGCAGTAGCATACACCGAAAAACAAAAATTTAATATGCCTGCAGTAATTCCCAACAATAACAAGTCAGCTCAGACATTCAGAAATCCTTGTCTCAAGTATGTAGCAAACAAGCCTGTCATCAATTAGCAGGTCTAGTAGATTGGCTATTTATTTCCAGAATTACTGTACTTGAATAAGAGACAAAGTAATATCTTGCTTCCAAAGTTCCTCCCATATTTGTTAAATGGGCCCTTCTAAATTTAGAAGGTAACTAGTAACCCTTTTCTTTTCCCATGAAAAAATGGCTCCATCTTACTTGTTTTGACCTGCTTTTTTGAGGTAGTAACTCACCTCATACACTAGAAATCTATTTCATTTATGTTTTATTGCAGTATTGCATTGATATGGATAAGGGAGTTGGAACTCTGAAACCTTGAAAACAGCTTTTACTGAAAATGTAATGCTTTTCAGAAGCTGTTTGCAAAAGCTGGATTATTTTGGGTCCTGGGATCATGTCGGGGCTTTTTTCCCAGTCAATTGAAGTGTGTATATTTGTCTTTCTCCTCTAATATGTATATTTACTCAGTCCGCCTATCCTACAGATATGTGCGTAAGGTGTCAGACAGTCCAATAAATACCAGTATTTTGTGAGACTGTGGCCTGTCAGCTTGTAAATGCATTTTTAAATTTTTATTTCAGCATTTTAATTCAAACTGAAACATAATAGTGATTTGTGCTTGCTTTCTGCTCTTATTGCTATAAACTTTCAGATTTATATTGGAATTAAAGAAAAAAGAGATCAAATTTCAATAGAAAAATACTGGTAAAACAAAAGTGCAAAAGTGATAAAACCTACTAACTTGGTTTACAGTAACTTGTGCAAATCATCTTTTGTCCCCTTTGGTCACCATGGCTTTTTGGTGGGATTACATTGTTAACTTTTTTTTTTTTAATTGACACTAGAAGCTTATAACAGTTCTTATAATTTTGTTTAGGAAGGTAACAGTCTGCTATTTGTTTGGGAAGGTTTGCCTAGCCACATTGCTTCATTGTAAACTTAATATGGGAAGCACTTTAGGGCAACGAGTGGACTTTGATGTTTGTCTTGTACCACTTTCAGAGTATTTCCAATAATACACCCGTAGGGGAAAGTCCCCATTTGCAGATGCTCTGGGGAGGGATTGCTCCTGCAACTGCATTTGCCTCTGCTGAATAGCTCTGCATATTTGTTGTGCTTTTAGTTCTGGGACTGGATGGCATCGTGTTGAGAGCCATCAGTGAAGTATTAGGGAGTAAACAAATTCGAGAGAGGGAGGATCTAAAAAATGTGTGATTAAGTTGATTTCAGGATAGACGGGCGTCATTATAGATATCCTCAAGTGACTTTATTTGTGATTGTAGCTATAGCTACTTTTGTTAATCTGATTTATCTTTAGAGGGTGGAGGGAAGAAGCAGGAATTCCAGATTAGTTAATGTTTTCAGTCATTGCTCTGTCAGAATGAGGTTTTTAGGTTGCTGGCTGCAAACTTGTTGTTGAGAAAGTTATAAAATATTACCATGTACAGGTTTGCATTTTGATTAATAATTAACTTAGTTGTGGGTTAACATTGATACCTTTGGCCGTTGAACTGGTCTAATCACTAACAGGGTTGTAAATGTAGTTCAGATGTGTTGACACAAGACCTTTTATTCGAAGACTTTGTCAAACAAAATCAATGATTGATGCTTTTCTCCCCCATCCTTTTTCTTCACAAAATGGCCTTTTATAATTGTAATAGTCCTGAAGAAATAATATGTTTTGTTTGTGTGATGTCCGTGACAAGAAGTTATTAGGGAGATTCAGAAATTCTCAAAGGTTAAGGGCATTTCTTAAGATCTGTTCCATCACCAAGTTAAAAATTCTTTTATTCTATATTTTTCTTCTCTTGACTGTAAACACAGTTCCTAGAAAGAGTAGAGAGATGAGGAATTTGTTGTACTCCTGGGCAGAATATACAAGATATTTAGCATTTTACGCTTTTGTGGAAGCTGAAGGTTTTAGAGACACTAATCACCTATATGCTTGTGCTGTCTGTTGATAAATTTTTGCTTCTCGTGGCTTGTAATACCTAGAAAAAGGTGATCAAACTTAGAAAAAAGAAAAAAAAAGCTTTATCATAACCTCTCATTTTGAGATGTCTGTGTTTAACAGTGACATAGGATCCTTTTTCTTTTTTTTTTTTAGATTAACTTACACATGAAAGTTCCTGTGAGAGTCACTATTCAAGTTTGAGTCAAAACTAACCTACAGAATTGGTCCCAACTTGCTTAGAATGAATTGCTATCAAAGAAATAATGTCAAAGCGGATGAAACTCCTTAGTTAACATCCTAGTTAACATCCTTTTCCAAGCTTAGAGAGCTCTTAGAGAACTCCACTCCTAGAGAACTCTTAGTTCAGTATGTGGTCCCTGATCTCGGCTAGCTACATATCATTATGTCATACCTAACACATTCCTCCTTGCTCACTGGTGTTCTTTTTGCACAAGATATTCCTTTTTTGCCAATAATTGCATGAAATTTATACAATCTGTATGCAAAACTGAAAGAGGTCAAAGTCAACTCTAACATCCTACTGCTCTGAGAAACTGTTTTACTTTACTTGCCATTATAACAAACAGTGTATTTGTGCCTAACTGCTTTTACTCTTCCCGCCAGTTTCCTCATTTTAGTTTTGTGTGGGAAAATGGTTATAAAAAATGGAGAAGATGAATACAAAAAATTAAAAAACATCTGAAAAGATGCAGTCAATATAACTTTGGCTAGCTTATGTCACTTAAGTCACTAGATTCCAGACACTGGACTCTCCTTGCTGTCAGTTTTGCTTCCAAATTCAGAAAAAAATGTTAGTTGCCAACTGAAACTGGAGATACATGGGCAACCTAGTGCTTCATTCTGCACCCATAATCAGCTCTGCTGTTGCACTAGGCTGCACTGCAAAATTTTGTAAAATAGAATGTAGCTGCAAGAAATTGATGTAAGTACGGTTTATTTTTTAACTGTTGTTGTACTGCAAAGGCACTGCTCTGTCTTTGAAGTCAGTTTGGACAGGAGCAAGTCTTTTCCAACACTGATCAAGGATAATGCTCCCAGTACTATTATCAGCCCTTATGTGACTGTTCATAATTGCTGGCGCTAACAGGCCTTTCTAATCTGGAGCAGTTTCCATAGTCCCTGCTCTTACCAGCTTCTTCCCATTCTGCTTGGCGCAGCTGGTGCTGGGCTGAAATTGAGTGTGCACTAAGATATTTTTTGTTGGGTTGAGGTTTTGCCAGAGAAGCTGGCAAAGATGTTTTGTGAAGTGAGGTTCTCTGAAAGGAGAGGCATTGTTCTGCTAGAGTACATAAGAATAACTGTGATCGTTAAAGTTTATAAGTGAAGTGTTTGCATACCACTATGTCACAGGAGAAGACAATCTGTAACCAGGGGTTATTCTTTATAGCACTGTCAGAGAAAACAAGGGGAAAGGTAGAACTTCCACTGTAGTAAACCACCGCAGCACAATGGTATTCCTCTGAGAAACTACAGCGTAGAGTAACAGAGCTACCCGGAAAAAACATGACAGCTTTAACAATGGTGTTATGCTCAAAGAGAAGCTACCCAGCATATGTGGTGGGGTTCATTCCAAAAATTTATGTATGTGACCCTTGCCTAAGAAACTGGGGAAATATCTGATAGTATCACTAAGGTTATAAACCACAGCAAGAATTCGAACAAGAGAGAACTTAACTGTCAGCTTCTCATGAAGAAAATGAGACAAATGAGTCGCTTTCATAAGCTGCCTGGAATGGAGGAAGAAGAAGCTCCACCTGTTACATTGCCAAATCAAAGAAAAAAAAATTTCCACTGGCACTGCTAAGTATATACCAAATTACATTAACCATAATCCAAAACTTCATAGGAGTAAAATTTTACTCTACATATATCTACAGTAGTCAGCTAACCATTTTTTTTTCTCAGACCCTTTTCAGATCTCTATTTTTGCT